AAGAAACCATCCTGAGTGAGGTAACCAAGTCACAAAAAGACAAACATGGTATGTACTCACTCATATGTGGATTTTAGATATGGATCAGGGGAGTGCCAGCCTACAATCCCACTGCTAGAGAGTCTGGGAAACAGAGAGGACCCTAAGAGAGATATGCATGGTATCCCAGAGAAGGGGACTGAGACAGGATCTCCTGAGCAGATTGAGAGCATGGGGAAAGAGGAGAGGGAGCTTGGAAAAAGAAGAGGAGAAGACTACAGAGAGGGACTTGGGGGAGCAGGAAGGTTGAGTTGGGGAACAATAGAGGAGAGTAGGATGAGAGATACCATAATAGAGGGAGTCACTATAGGTTTGAGGAGAGATCTGGCACTAGTGAGATTTCCAGAGATCTAGAAGGATGACACCAACTGACAAACTAAGCAATGGTAGAGAGACTACCTTAAATGCCCTTCCCTGATAATGAGTTTGACGACTATCTTATGTGGCATCCTAGAGCCTTCATTCCGTGGCTGATGGAAGCAGAGGCAGACACCCACAACTAAACACTGAACTGAACTCCTGGAACCCAGTTGCAGAGAAGGAGGAGTGGTAAGCCAACAGGTCAAGACTGGACTGGTGAAACACACAGAGACTGCTGACCTGAAAAAGGGAGACTTCTTGGACTCCATATTGATGGCTAAGAGGTCAGCATGGATCTGATCCAGACTTCCTAAATTTAGGTATCAGAGAGGAGGCCTGATCAACCCATGGGGCCTTGGGTATTAGATCAGTATTTATCCCTGGCATGCAAATGGACTTTGGGAGCCCATTCCAAATCAAGGGATGCTCTCAGCCTGGACACATGGGGGAGGGACTAGGCCCTGCCCTGGATGAAATGACAGTCTCTGGAGATACCCCATGGAGGGCCTCACCCTGGAGAGTAGAGTGGGAATTGGATGGGGGGTTAGGGGACTGGTGGGGGGCAGGGGAGGAGGGGAGGGAGAGGGAACTGGGATTGACATGTGAAGCAAACTTGTTTCTAATTTAAACAAGAAAAGAAAAACAAAATGTCTTGTACTAAAGATATCTTGGCATATGGGGGAGGGCTACCAAAATTTTTAATTATGACACTTATGCAGTATAGCAATGTTGTGTTAGCTGCTCCCAAGAAATAGCTTTTTCTTTTGATAACACATATGTAAATTCACCATGTGGCTAATGTTCACTTGTGTATACTAACACTGGGCTTTATTAATTTATCTGTTTGTGCTATGATGATAGACATGATAAATTGATAGTTTAGATTTGTAAGTGCAAATTCTGTTCCTCCCATTCATGAACATCACATTAGGAATAATAATACTGAAAATCTGTCCCTGAATTATTCATATATTTTTAATTTTAAGTAATATTTTATAGATTAAACATAAGTGGTAAGCAGTTAACAGGTTCCCAATAAACTGTACCATGTTTTAGTAAGGTGTGATCATGCATCATGATTTCACCACTCAGTGAGATAGAATTTGGTTTTGTTAATTTATTAAAGTGCAGTCATTTGCTTCACAAACTTATTTAACACATATTATTAGCCTCTGCATCTACTGCAAATTTCTTTAATTAAAAATAACTATTATTTACTAATAATATACATTTCCTCAAGTTACTATTACTAAGCTAAAAAATCAGAAGCTCAAAATGTTTCTTGCCCAACTAATAGAGTGTCTTAAGGGCTTTGTTTTTTGTCTGGAAAAGCACATGTAAAAATATAATTTCCTTGCCTTTCCACATTCTCTAGACCACCCTTGAAGGATGGTAACTTTCTTTGTCTTCAGCAATATATCATTGGAACTTCTCTCCTAATTGATGTCCCTCTATTTCACTAATGAAGTATAGGAAGATAAGGTCTATGATACCAAATGATGGGCCAACCCGAAGTTTGCCTGGAAGCCTAGCAACAGATGCTATCAGAGGTCCTGATCTTGCCTAACCAATGAGGGGCAACCACACAATGTCAACAGATCAGAATGCAGCCTGGCGGCTTGGAAGACGGTATATAAGACTCTCCCTACGACTAAAGAGATAAGTCTGATGTTAGCCTTTTACCTGACTTCTGGGGTCTGTGTCATTGACTTCCCACTCTCTCCCCAGAGGGAGCCATTAGGACCCAGAAACAATGAAGAACTTTTGATTACTATGAAAACAAATATTTACTTAAGGATATTTTCCATTTCAAAATCCTCACTCTATCATGCTTACAAAAATCCCACTTTCTATGTAAGTCTAAATTATTCATTGGCTATATGGACTGGAAGATGGGTGTTTGAAATGATTTATTATTCTGTTTGCCATAATATGTATATTATGTGCCTACAGAAGTGAGAATAGAGTGTTGGATTCTCTGGAACTGGAATTACAGAGTGAGCGAGTGCAGGATACTGATCCTGGGGGTTCGGAAACAGTCAGGGCTTTTAACTGCTGAGCCATCTATCCAGCCCCATATTATCTGGTTCTTTGTTTTCTTGTCAGATGTCTTTAGTAGATTAACACATAGCTTCAGCGTGTGTGAGACAACTGAATGTTTGTTGAATAGAGTTAATTAATGAAAGGTGAGGGGTAAAATCTAAAAATGCCTGCATTTGCTCCTTGGTTTATTTACTGACTACAAATCAGCTTTTAATACATTTCCAGTTGTGTGTGCTTACAGCATTTTTCTTTCACTCCATTAACTTGACTGTCATCTGTTTACATTCAGCAACTGCAAGATTAAGATGATTTCAGAGGAATAAGAATATCAGCATGCTTCCTTGAGGACAGTAAATGCAAGATTTTGCTATGAGCTGTTTAGAAAATGATGTTAGTTTTAACTCGAAGATCATTTTCCTGTAGATATTTAAAGTTTCTCTATGAGTTCACTTTAGACTGATACTTGTCTATAATTCCTTTAGTCTTAATTGAATTTCTTTGATGAAGTTGTCTCTATAGAGGCTCATTATATGTGTAAGTTATACTGTGTATTATATAATCAAAATTTTGCCTTGAATTATGGTGAAAGAGCTTGCCTCCTGAACGTGTTTATTTATAAGCTGCTCAGAGCTGCCATTCAATGTTGCATTTTTAAGGTTTCACAAAACTCAATGGAATTTAGCTCACTCGTTTAAACGTTAATCACTGCAAGTAAGTACAGAGATAATGACTTAATGCTTTAGAAAAGGACCATGAAGTGACAGGACAAATATTCATATCTTGGTAGAAATATGAGCCTCTACAAGGTTAGTATATGTAATTCACTCCATGTCAGCTTTCAGTAGCTTGCAGCACTGTGAAGTTAGGATTATTTGTACTGCAGGCTTACACTCAGCTAGTTGACTCCCTCAGTTCACTGCCAATGGAGCTTCTGTTTATAATGTTCCTGTTATCCAAGTTTCCTCTGTAAGTGAATATCGACATTTCAAATTTTATAGTTAGTAACATATATCTATTAGAATGGATCCCGTGTCATATTAACCTTGATGTTTTAAGATGGATTTCAAATAAATAAAAATACTTTAGGGAAGTTTTAAGAATCTAGCATTACTGAATATATTCATTGTTATGGAGTTGTTTGGGGGTCAAAGTCAAATTTATAACTATCAGGAAAAATCCTGCAAGGTACACGTGTATCAGAAGATCTTGCTGCTTCTACTGTGTGCCAACTGAAAAGAGTAATCGACAAGTTAAGAGTGTTCTTAAGCAGACCCAGGGGTCCACTCTCATATAAATTCCCCAAACAAAAGAAAAAAAGTCTGCTGAAAACTAGTGAAAGCTTACCTAAGGGGAGACATTCTAACAGCTAATACTACTTTAGGATGGTAAGGAAAGGTGATGAAAATGCCATGTTATTCAACTCACATTTGACTTACAAGTGCGATTAAACATCACTCTTTCCTCTATATAATCCAAGTTTGTACCTGGAATTAGTTCCCCATGTAGTTATTATTAACCCTGTCTTTAAAAATGCCCCAGTTAGGGTGATACATTATATGGCCACATGAAATCTATAGACCCAAATCTCCAGCATTTCACTGTTAAGAGGAATCACTCCCCAAACTGACTAGAATGTCCAAGTCTAATAAAATTTTGCTGTTCTGATGAGAATAAATGTCATGAGTATGAAGGCAAAAATTTTAAGTACTGGGCTCTTTGATGTCTACATTGTTTGGTCTAGTTTCTGACAGTTTCATTAAATTGGTGTAATATCCTTTGGCAGTAAAGCAATGTATCTAATTTCAGAACTAAATCTCTTGAGAACCTTAAGCTAACAATCACAATATGAGCAGCTTATCAACTATTTAAATTTGATGTTAAGGATTTGTTGTTCTTAATGGATTTTTTTCCTCAGGATTTCAAAATTGCAGAGGAGACTGAATTGGCAGACATTTGCTTATGAAATACTAATCAGAGGAACAATTACAAACCTTCATATTCAAACAATGTTTACTTACCATCTTTACCCTTTGTTTGACATATTCCTGTCATTTTGTAACATGCTGAATATACTATGAAATAACCTTTTGGATTAACATTCATAGCAATGAGACCAAAATCTATATATTCATTGTTGTCATGTATCTTTGTTATGTTTTCTTATTGCTATAGGTTAAAATATAAGTATACAAGACTTGGTGTTTTCTCTGTGTATATAGAACTCATTATGGTATAAAAATATCAAATGCCATCAGTATCAGCAGCAGCAACAAGAAAAGTAATAGCAGTCAAAGTGTTGGTAAGAACCATACTCAATATTCAAACTAAATATTGTAAAAGAGTTACACAAAGGAGATATTTTTATGAGGAGGAAAGGTATTCTTAAGTGTAAGGAAAATCTTTGACTATAGGGTTTTAGTCAGCAAAATCACTTTCCAATTTATATCTGGTATGTCCTCTTTTGCAAAGCCATCAAGACAGATTAATCTATTGAGTTGGTCAGGATAGCCCCAGCCCTACAAGGCAGAGAACATAAAGAAACATATAAGTTTGCTCACCTGGAGGAAATAGAAGAGCCAGAAAACCTGTCCCCATCATCATGATGAGTGAGGTCTTCAACACTTAAGAGGCAGCTGCAAAAGAATAAATTTGCATGAGCTCATTTAATATGAACAACAGTATGAACTTGTGTTTTTCACCTCATTTCATACATGGAATTCATAGACTGTCAATACGTAGATGTGGTCTACTACATGAAAAAGTTTTTAGTCTGTTTCAAATCCTAATCATGTACCTCATCACAGGATTTTTCTATCTTACTATTTAATTAAGTTCTCCAATAGAAGATTCCTAGGAAATACAACCAATAAATGGAGAAAAATGGGAAAACAAATAAATGGGCAGTCAAAAGTATGACAAATATTTATTAGATTGAAGATCGAAGTGCATTTACTCTCACTTCAGGGCTATTTCCCCTAACATACTACAGTTTTACTTTTATAAACTATACTTTTACCAATTTTATCTCTATTAATTATAGAGAATTACTTTTTAAAATTATGTATTATGTAACCCATATACAAATACATATATGTAACATATTTTACAGCATATGTATTTAAAATTTGGAAGGGATAAGAAAACAGATTGGTAATTGCTTCCCCTCACTAAAATCATCTCTGTTTTTCAAATGTTTGATGCAACCTAGCTTCTTCTCTTCTGTGTGTGTTGAGAAGTTTTAACTTACTGTGTTGTGGAAATTTCTTATTGTTGGTCAATGGTTTCTATTGGTTCAATGGATTGTATGTATCAGAGAACATTTCACTTTTGTTGTTTAAGTTGGCAGCTTCCAGTACTTTGTATAAAGAGTATTACTCAATTCTGATACTGTGTTCTTTGAAAGGTGGGTAATTATTTATTCCTTCGGAGGAGGTACCAAGCATTTTAGGAGAGTTAGCAGCATCCTTGAACTCTGCTTACTTCATACTGATAGTGCTTTACTTTGAATGGGCAACCAAAAGGTGTCCAAGTATGGACTGTGTCCCACATACACTAAAATAGTCTCAGTTGGTGACTGCTAACATTCAAGTATTTATTTCTTCTTAGAAATTATAAGGTATATATACTTGGAGAGGCTTGAGAGTTATTGTGGAATTATTGCAAATTCATCCTACTTGGCTTTCATTGGTATATTATCTACTGTGCCCTTACATCCTGTGGTGGTTTGGATAAGAATGTCCCTATATACTTTTATATGCTTGAATGCTTTGTCCATAATGGAACTGTTTGGAAGAATTAAAAGTGTGGCCTTGTTGATGTAGTTGTACCATTGTTGAAGGAGCTGTGTCAAAGGGTGGGGGGTTGTTAGGGGGTAGGGGGTGGGTGTTGGGGGGTGGGGTGGGTTTGTGATTTCAGAAGTCCACACCATTTCTCTCTCTGTCTGTCTCTCCTCTCTGCTGTCTCCTCACTCCTCTCCTTTCCTCTCTCTCTCTCCTCTCTCTCTGCCTTCCTTCCTCCCTCTCTCTCCTCTCTACTCTCTCCTCACCCCTCTCTCTGTCTCTCTCTCTCTCTGTCTCTCCCTCTGTCTCTCTCTGTCTCTCGTTCCCCTCTCTCTTCTCTCTCTGAATGCTGCTTGCCGATCAGGATGCAAAGCTCTCAACTACTGCTCCAACTCCACATCTGTCTGCTTCCACCATGATGATCACAGACTAAACAATCAATCACTGTGAGAAAGATCCAATTAAATGTTTCCTTTTTATAAGCTAATATGGTCATAGTGTATCCCCACAGTAATAGAATAGTAATTAAGACACATATTACTTATAATTATTCTAGATTCCTTGTCCTGATTATGGCCATGCCTCTGCTGTATATTAGGTTGGTTTCAATGTTCTCTATTTTTAGTTATGTCTTTTTTTCCTTTAGTATCATAAATTTAACTAATTTCTGGGAAATTGGACACAATATGCCAGAAAAAAGAAACTGTGTTAAATAGATCCTCAATGCGGTAGCAGCAAATTGTGAGATGAGGAAGCACGTTCTTTTCTTTATGAGCAAGGCCCTGGACTTAAGCAAGCTTGGGATCAAATAACTAGAGTTCCAAAGTACCGCTGAGGATTTTCTTATTCCCTATGTCATTTTGGATGGCTGCAATTGCTTAGAACCAAGCATCCTAGGAAGCATTGCATGAAACAGATCACAATAAATTCTACATTAACCTCCAAGAGGAAACTATGCAAGGCCACATTATTTTGATTCCTGCCACCTATTCTTCACTTTATAGGTATCAGTATTCCTTATGAGATTTCAAATTGACTTTGAAATTTTAGTGTCATGTGCTATGGCTAGAACATAACTTTCTGTGGCATTCGCCTTGCATGTTCTACTACGAAAATGGTAGACCACATTAAATAGCAGTGCTGTACTGTATATTAGAATTCTATGTCATTTTCTGACTTGGATGAGAGAAAACTTTAAAAATCACTGAAACTCACAGCAGCATGGGTGTTTTGAGATGGAATATTTAAGTCTCAGTGTCAGATTGTGCTTAGAAATAGAAAAGAAACTAGATTTATTTGAGAAGAGGGCTTCAGCTGAATGATCAAAATAGATGCCTAACACGAATAAAAGCAAAACAAAGCAAAAAAAAATTCAAGTTGATTGAGTTGGATGAAGAAAGGTATTCTGAAGGATGAAGATGAGCTCTGAGAGGATAGACTAGATGAAACTAAGAGAAAGATGAGATATTAAAGGCCAGGCACAAATGATAAGCACCCTAGGAAACTGTTCTTTAAAAGGCCATTAAAGATAAGTATTATAAGTGTAATTGAGAAATGGAGAACAAGGCCACCAGAAATTTAAGGAAACACAACAAAATATACTAAGGAAAGTGAAGTCAAACCAGAGATGAAAACCTTGTGAAATGATCACTTGGAGAGTTACTACATTATATATCCAACAATAACATTTTTTTACAAACATACTGAAAGTTAAAATTTCTAGACATATTGGATGTTTTGGAGATGGAGTCATATTATGTATCCACAGCTGATATTATAAATTTAAATCTTCCTGTGTTATCTTCCCCAGCACGAGAATTTGAGGCATACTTTATCGTGCTTGAAATCCCAGGTATATTTGAGAAAAGAAGGTCTAATATAGCCACTGAGGAAGTACTTACTGAAATGGCATGTGCTTTTTGATAGACATATCCAAGATATAAAAAGCACAGTGAAATTATCAATGAGATAAAATTTTAATTAGATCATTTGTTGGGCAAAAGTGTAAATATTTTGTATGAGTAAATATTCTATTATAGTTGATACCAAATGATACCAAACTAAAATTTTTAAGAATGTACCGTTCGTTATTGTAAGAGTCTAAAGAGAAAGTAGCTGAGGTCACACTATCACAAGCCAAACACTAAGACGTGTGACTTAGAGGTATGTAGACTATGCTGTAAAGTTTCTGTCCTCCCATCTTTCCCTTAGAATCCCATGTAGTTTATCCTTCCAAAGTCTACCTCAATTCATCCTAAAAGTTCAACTAGTAAGTAAAATTTCCCTGATTTGTTCTGTCTAAAACTTCCAAGAAGGCACATCAGAAACACACACACACACACACACACACACACACATGCAGGCACAAAGAAAGAAAACAAAAACTTGTAATCTAGAGCTACTAGCTTCAAATTATTTATTACCTTTACACTGCTTACACTTCTCTCTCTCTCCTTCTCCCCGACTCTGTTTTTCTGAGCCATCTCTCTAAATTTTTATATAATTATTTTATGTATTAATAGTTTAAAATTTTTCTTTTTCTTTTTGTCTCATACATCTCAGCTACAGTGTGGCTTCACTCCACTGCCCCCCACACACACCTGCTCTCTCCTCCAGATCAACTGCTCTTCCTTGCATTAATATTTTCCTACCATATCTTTAAAACATTTCTATAGTGTGTGCAATACATTTCCCTAGTGATAAATTTGATAATAGCTGGTCATGTTCAGTACCTTCTCTGTTGTAAAGCTACCATTTATAGAGCACAGCATAGCTTTACTTCCATTAAGGGAAGACTTGTCATATATTACCTTGGGTCTCTGAAGCACCATCACTGTCATGATACATACTGGGTGAGAGGAATTTTCTGGAATCTCTAACTCATTCAGATTCTAAAGATATGTTTGGTTTTCATTGGACTGATACCATTGTGTCTTACTTAGGAGAAATGCCAGTATAAGATTTAAATATGACAACTAAAATTCAGTTGTTTTATTGTATACAGCTCACTGCAAAATTAGTTTTATATAGATACACATGAAGAAATGATCGCTATAAACAAGACAATTAACAACATCAATAGCTAATCATGAATTTTTCATTCATGGTGTTTGCCATAGCTAACCCCGTTTTCTTACCAAATTCCCATTATACTTTTACAATTTTAGTGACATTTGAGAATATGCAACACATCTCTAGGATATTTAATAGGGCTCCAACAATTGGTCTTCTGACCTTTAACTCTCCATACCTTCCAAATACCACACTGGCCTTTAGTAGCTATTCTTCAGCTATCAAGGATGGCTTGATTAAAATAATTTTTAAGAAGATGATTTGTATTTAGAAATACTACATGACCTACGAAGGTCAAGAAATAGTCAAAATTAACATGCAGAGCAAACACATTAGACAGATCAATTCCCTGTGGTGTCATTCAGACTTATACTCTTAACAAAGAGTTATTGGGAGCTATGGATTCTTTAAAGCACAGGTTTTATGGTAAAACAAAACAACTAACACTGTCCTCTTGGACATTTACCTTTGCCCATAAGTTTCTTTTTGTTGTCCATGAGCTCCCCCTTGTTCAGGTCAGCTGTTTCTGTGGGTTTCTCCAGCCTGGTCTTGACCCCTTTGCTCATCACTCCTCCTCCTCTGCAACTGGATTCCAAGAGTTCAGTTCAGTGTTTAACTGTGGGTGTCTGCTTCTGCTTCCATCAGCTACTGGAGGAAGGCTCTAGGATGGCAAATAAAGTAGTCATCAATTTCATTATTGGAGAAGGGCATTTAAGGTAGCCTCTCCACTATTGCTTAGATTGTTAGTTGGGGTCAACCTTGTGGATCTCTGGACTTTCCCTAGTGCCAGATTTCTCTTAAAATCTATAATGGTTCCCTCTGTTATGGTATCTCTTTTCTTGTTCTCCTCTATTCTTCCCCCAACTGGATCTTCCTGCTCCCCCATGTCCTCCTCTCATGTCTTCTCCCCTTCGCTTTCTCCTAATTCCCTGTGCCCTCTGCCCATGCTCCTAATAGGTTCAGGAGATCTTGTCCTTTTCCCCTTCTCCGTGGGACTATGTATGTCTCTCTTAGGGTCCTCCAGACTGATAGCTGAAAAACCAGCATAGGACTGTCCCAGAACCCCTGAACATGGATGTTAGTTTGGAGGTCTGGTTAATCTATAGGGCCTATAGTAGTGGATGAGTATTTATCCCTAGTATACCAATTGACTTTGGGAGCCCATTCCACATAGAAGTCATTCTAGACACATGGGGGATGGTCTAGGTCCTGCTCCAAATGATGTGACAGTCCTTGAAGATCCCCCTTGGAAGGTCTCACCCTCCCTGGGGAGCAGAAAGGGGATGGGATATGGGGTCGGTGGATGGCAGGGGAGGAGGGGAGGGAGAATGAACTGGGATTGACGTGTAAAACAAGCTTGTTTCTAATAAAAAAAGAGCCTTAGGATCAAGAAAGAAAAGTATCAAATTGTCATGCAAGATATCTTATGAGCAGTACTTTGTAATAAAATTTTTAGAAAGCAATAAAGCTGTTACAATATGGACCGTAGGACATGTACTTATTCAGGATAGTATATATGGGGATACCAAGGTTGAATAGAGCCTATAAAGGATGAAGTCATTCTTTCATACACTTGAAAGTATTTCAGGTAAAAATCAGCAGCTGCAAAACCTTTGAAAGGAGAAAATCTTTAGTAAAGTTAGTAGTTTGAACACTGATCACGTAATAACTCAATAGAATGATAAGCATAGGTCAGTGCAGTACAGGTTATTTTCAAAAGCAAATTTAGATAACTCAAAGTTCAAAATAATAGTTGATATTGTTAATGCCTCAAGATTATTGGAAAGAAATACTTAAATGTATGCTTAATAGAAATTGGACTGAGCTTCCTGTCACTAACTACAGTTGTTAAGTGGAAAGATGTATATGATCGGGTTAATTAGTTGTTGGTGTTATTCTTAAAGAACAAGCTAAGAAATGCTAGAGAAAGGTATAACGTGTCTCTTTAACAAAATTTCACAGGATATACTATTAAAGAAACATAAGCTGAAGTGATCACTGGGTATGCAAATCACATTTAAAAGGGCATAGGGTTGGGGAGATGAATCGAATCAGCATGAATGATTTGAAATACACAAAGAATCAATAGAAAAGTCTAAAAACAAAAGACAAACTACCTTGAATGGCAGTAGAAAGTCAACTTAAAAATAACTCAATGGTATATTTGGAGATACTTTGTTTTATGATTTGTATGGGGTTTTATTAAGCCTACTGGCCTTTGACATATGTTTTCTGATTTTTTGTTTTCATAGGCTTTCTCTGTTGTATATGTGCATGTGTGTTTCTCATGCTTTTTCTTTTTATTCTATTGTTTTGTTTTGTATTATTCTGGTCTATTTGTTTTGTATGTACCTGTTTGCTCTCTAAAGAGAGCAATAAAGAATTTGGATCAGTGAGGAGCTCTGGAGGATCTCAGAGGAGGTGAGGGACGGGCAACTATGATCAAAATAAATTGTGGGAAAAAAACAGTCTATTTTCCCCAAAAATGAAACAAAGTCTTCACAAAGTGTTGAGAAGAAGATAAAGGTGCTATTGCAAGAGTGGAAAGAATGTGATCAATATATTTCTTTTATGTTCCCATCATTCACCCCCTATCCTCTATCCTCCTCTGCCCTCAGTTTACCTAGGAGACCTCATCTTTCTCCTTCCTAGGGCAATCCATGTTTCCCGTTTAGGGTCCTCTTTGTCATTTAGCTTCTCTGGGGATGTGGATTATAGCTTGGTTAACCATTGCTTTACCATCTAATATCCACTTATGAGGGAGTACATACTATGTTTTTATTTCTGGGTATGGGTTACTTCACTCAGAATTTTTTTTTTAGTTCCATCCATTTTCTTGCAAATTTCATGACATCATTGTTTTTCTACAGCTGAGAAATGCTCCATTGTGTAAATGTACCACATTTTCTTTACCCATTCTGTGGTGGAGGGGCATTTATCCTGTTTTCAGGTTCTATTTTGAATAATGCTGATATGAACATAGTTGAGCAAATGTCCTTGAGGTAAGGTTAAGCATCCTCTGGGCATATGCCCAACAGTAGTGTCACTGGGTCTTAAGATAGATTGATTTCCAATTTTTTTAGAAACTGCCATATTGATTCTGACCAGCAATGGAGGAGTGTTCCCCTTATTCCACCTCCTCTCCAGCATAAGCTGTCATCAGTGATTTGATTTTAGCCATTCTGACAGGTATAAGATGGTATCTCAGAGTGGTTTTAATTTGCATTTCTCTGATAGCTAAGGATCTTGAAGCCTTGTTTAAGTCTATCTTAGCCATTTAAGATTTTTCTGTTGAGAATTCTTTCTTTAAATCTGTACCACATGGTTTCTCTGTATTGTTTTGGAGCCTATCCTGGAACTTGCACTGTAGACCAGGGTGGCCTCAAACTCAGAGATCCGCCTGCCTCTGCCTCCCGAGCACTGGGATTAAAGGCGTGTACCACAAACGCCTGGCCTATACCACATTTTAAAATGGAATTATTTGGTATTCTGTTGTCTAGTTTCTTGAGTTATATATATTTAGGAGATCATTCCTCTGTTAGATGTGGGGGTGGTGAAGATCTTTTTCCATTCTGTAAGTTATCGTTTTGTCTTACTGACAGTGCTCTTTGCCTTACAGAAGCTTTTCAGATTCAGGAGGTCCCATTTATTAACTGCCAATCTCTATGTCTGTGTTATTGGTGTTATACTCAGGAAGTGGTCTCCTGTGCCAGTGCATTCAAAGGTGCTTCCCACTTTCTCTTCCACAAGCTTCAGTGTAACTGTTTTTACATTGAGGTCTTTGATCCAATTGGACTTGAGTGTTTTGCAGGGTGATAGATATGGCTCTAGAATACACATATTTTAATAAATTAAAATTAGAACAAATTAGTGAAATGTAGCATAGAAAAAAAACTGTCCAAAAATTCAGAGGAATAATTCCAGGATTGACATTGTAAGAAAAAGTTTAAACTCATATATGTTTAGAAGTTCTAAATTTTAACTATTAATTTAGGAGAGAAAATAATTGAAGAAATGGAAGAACAATAGTTAAACAATTAAAATTCAATTGAAGAAAATATATAAGTAAAAGGGAAAGAGAAACTGTTCTGAACATATGTTATATTATAAAGCAAAACTTTGTAATACTGCCAAAAATAAATCTGAGAATCTGACTACTAGAACAAGGTTCATTGTATACATTCATTTAGAGTGAAAGTTGGGATTTTGTCAATGTTTTCATCATATACAGACTTGTGGATATAGATATTTATCATTAAAAATCCTTGTATTAGTCCCAATGGCTCTTGAGAGAAAAAGGTAACATCACAGCATAGAGTACACAGAAAAGAAGATCCAGGAAAGAGTCACTCAAATTTCATTCGATAAAAACTTTTGTCTTAGGATAGGGAACTGCTCAATAGGTGCAAACACGAAGAATGAAAGACTTGAGTTCCATCTACAGACATGGGTAAAGAGCCAGATGGGGTTATTCACAACTGTTCTTTTAGCTCTCCAAAGCCGAGATGAAAGGCAGAGTCAAAAGCCTGGAGTACACAGTCCTTTTGCAGAGAGAGAGAGAGAGAGAGAGAGAGAGAGAGAGAGAGAGAGAGAGACAGAGACAGAGACAGAGACAGAGACAGAGAGACAGAGAGAGAGAGACAGAGACAGAGACAGAGACAGACAGACAGAGAAAGACAGAGACAGAGAGAGACACTCACAGATACACAGAAAGAGAGACACGGAGACACAGAGAGCCAGACACACACAGACACACACACACACACACACAGACACACACACACACACACACACATACACACACACGGAGAGAGAGACACAGAGACACACACAGAGATACACACAGAGAGAGACATACAGAGACACACACAGAGATACACACAGAGAGAGAGACATACAGAGACACAGAAAGAGAGAGACACACACACACAGACCGGGGGGGGGCGGGGGATGGAAGTTCAAAACCACCTCTGGAAAGTTAATCATTGAAGGTCACAAGTTTATATATACTCAGAACCACCCCCAACTGCCCTGCACACAATCACATATTGCATTCAGGCTAGGGAAGCAAGTGGGATAACTACAGATGTTTTCCTCTCCCACCTATATTCAAAATCTGATTCCCCAATGCCATAGGAAGGTCGTGGCAGACCACCAACTGCAGCCTTCAGTCCTCTCCTGGCCTCATGTCCAGTGGGAAATATACTCACATTTAAACTTCCCTTCCCCCATTAACTACTTTATCCCAGCCCCAACACCAGCAGGCATTGCTGGGAACCCTCAGAGCACCCAGTTCAGTGAGTCTGGAAGGTTAAACAGCCATCTTCCCTTCCTCAATTCCTCCAAGTCCAGGCACTGAGTCATTCATATTCAAAACTCCATAGCAGAACACTCATTACTGTCTCCCTTTTCGCTCAGATGCATATCTCCAGCCAATCACTTGGGTCAACCTTCCTTCCTGTCCTTCCTCTCCTTCCTCTCCTTCCTTCCCTTCCTTCCCTTCCTTCCCTTCCTTCCCTCCTTCCTTCCCTCCTTCCTTCCCTCCTTCCTTCCCTCCTTCCTTCCCTCCTTCCTTCCCTCCTTCCTTCCCTCCGTCCTTCCCTCCGTCCTTCCCTCCGTCCTTCCCTCCGTCCTTCCCTCCGTCCTTCCCTCCGTCCTTCCCTCCGTCCTTCCCTCCGTCCTTCCCTCCGTCCTTCCCTCCGTCCTTCCCTCCGTCCTTCCCTCCTTCCTTCCCTCCTTCCTTCCCTCCTTCCTTCCCTCCTTCCTTCCCTCCTTCCTTCCCTCCTTCCTTCCCTCCCTCCTTCCCTCCCTCCTTCCCTCCCTCCTTCCCTCCCTCCTTCCCTCCCTCCTTCCCTCCCTCCTTCCTTCCTTCCTTCCTTCCTTCCTTCCTTCCTTCCTTCCTTCCTTCGACTCACCTATTGTTGCAACCTCAAACATCAGTCTCCATGCCCTGGGAGCACATCAGGATCTCAGGTCAGGAAACAGAGAGGCTAACTGTAAATCTTCGCCTCCCCATCCTTTCCTCCAAATCTAAGACCCCAATCATCACATCCCCAACTCTGTAGCAGACCATTCTGAAGCCTCTCCTCCCTCCCTGTCCCCATATATATCTTTCCCTCCAATTTTTCTTTGCCCCACTCATATCTTTATCCCAATCCCCAAGTTCACCAGACATTCGCTAAGAACTTGCAGGTCACTCCAGTCAGGGAAGCAGATTGACTAATTTGGGATATTCCTTCCATTCCTTTGAATCTAATCTGCCAGTCAAACCTTCATTTATGGAGGTGACCACCTGCTGTGGCCTACCCTTCCAGTCTTCTCCATTCCAAACTTCATCTGTTCACACATATCTTATGCTCCAAAATTTCTTCCCACTCTTCCTGTCATCAAAGCCCAGAGAATCCACCAACTAGCCAAGCTAGACAGAGAAGCAAGTAAAGTATGTAGGTAAGTTTGTGATAGCCATCCTCCCTCCTCTTCTCCATATCCAATCCCCCAATCTCATCTCCTGCTGTGTAGCAGAACATCTGCTGAGTCCTCTCCTCACTCTTTGCCCACATTCCCAGATGACTAAGCAGATCCTGGTAAAAAGACTCCATCTTCTTGCATCCTATGGAACCCATCAATAGCCCCACTTAGGGCATATCTGTTTCTTAGAGCTAGCTTCAATGTTTAGGGACACATTTTCCCCTGCATCTTTCAGGATCACCATAGAATTTCCTACCAAGCAACATTCAGAAACCATACTATCCTAATGACCAAACTGTAACAAACACCAAGGGAAAAAACAAACAAAAGCAAAACAAAAACATTCACCAAACAAAGACAAGATTAGATAACAGCATCTAGATTTATTTTTTCCCCAAACCCAGATACCTAAATGCTAGGCTAAAACAATGAATGGCACCCAGGATAATGTGTATCACCTAGAGCTTGATAACCCTACTTACGATAACTGAAGCATGGGTAAAAGACCTTAAAACATCCTTTATGAATATGATAGAATTGCTTGAAGAGGATGAAGAAATCCTTTAAAGAAACCTGTGAAAGCACAAACAAAGAGTGGAAGGAAATGATTAAAACAGTTCAAGACCTGAAAGGAGAATTATAATTCAATAATAAACACCTAAACTAAGGGAGATTTGAAAATCAAAATTGTGAAATTCATACAGGAACCTCAGAAGTAAGCTTCACAAACAAAATATAAGAGATGAAAGAAAACTAAACAGACAAAGACTGGAATTAACTGAAGTTATAGGCCAAATGGCCCAAACACATATGCACAAAATGTTTCACTCAAACATGAAAAGAATACATCTTCTCAGCAATTCATGGAACTTTTCCAGAATTGACCACATACCTGGATACAAAGCAAGTGTCAACAGATATGAGAAAATTACAATAACATCTAGCATCCATTTGATCATGACAGATTAAAGTTGGATATCAACAATAGCAGGCAGCTTAAAAACAAAGGGAACCTGAACAACCCACTACTCAATGAAAAATGTGTCAAGAGAAAAAGTACAAAGGAAATTAAAGACATTCAAGAATTCAAGGAAAATGAATGAACAACTTACCCAAACCTATAGGACACAATGAAGGCAGTTCTAAGAGGCAAGTTGTTAGCACTATGTACCTACATACAAAAACCAATGATAACTCATACTAGTAAGCTAACAATACATGTGAAAGCAGAAAACTCTAGAACAAAAAGAAACAACACACCCAAAAGGAGTAGATGGCAAGAAATAATCAAACTCAGGATTATAACCAATGAAGTAGAAACAAGAAGCAAACACAAACAAACCAGAGATTCAATGAAACAGAGTCTGTTCTTTGATAAATCAATAAGATTGAAAAACACTTATCCAAATTAACAAAAAACTGAAGAGATAATATCCAAATTAACAACATTAGGATAGAAGTGGGACATAAAAACAGACAGCAAAGAAATCTGTAGACAACAACGACATACTTTAAGAACCTGCAATTCACCAAATTGGAAAATCTAAAATAGTTTTCTTAATGTGTACCACTTACCAAAGTTAAATAAACATCAGATAAATAATTTAATACAGACCAATAGCCCTAATAAAACAGAAGCATTAACTAACATTATACCAACCAAAGAAGCCAAAGGTCATATGGGTTTAGCAGTTTTATACCAGCCTTTCAAAGATTAGTGCCACTAATCCTCAATTATTCCACAAAATAGAAACATAAGAAACATTACCTAATTTTTCATGAGGCCACAGTTACCCTTATAACCCAAGCATATAAAGACCCAACAAAGAATGAAAATCACACACCAATTTCCTTTTTAAAATATAGATGACATTTTTTAAATAAAAATTTTTGTCAACTTAATCCAAGCACACATCAGAAAGATTATCTACCATGATCTAGCAGGCTTCATCCCAGATGTGTGGAAGATTCCTTTACAGTGTGAATACATGTAATTGTGATTGGTTTAATAAAGAAGCTGAAAATAAATTAGGTACAAGACTTTGGACTCACCAAGATAAAATAGACAATGAGGTATTTTCTGTGAATTTGTCAAATGCAAATGGACTAGATATTGCTGACAAACTTATTGCCTGTATATATTGTATATACTTATTGTACATAGTTTTTTATGTTAGTAGTTTTTCCTTTTGTATTAGACAAAAAAAGGGGAAATGTGGTGGTATATTATTTATGATTGATTATCATTTGCCTTAGGATTCAGCAAGCAAACTAAGCCGCAAGCAATAGAAGCTGAGTAATAGTGGCACACACTTTTAATCCCAGGACTCAGGAGAAAGGCATTTGGATCTTTGAGTTCAAGTCCATTTTGGGCTACCAGAGAGTGAATCAGTGCTCACATCTTTAATCCCAGAACACCTTTAATCACACCTTTAATTCTACCATGAACATACTCAATCAACCATATTCATTTGCTGCTTTATATAACAATAGCCAGAAATTAGGAGAAATAACCTAGATGTCCCTCAAGAGAAAAATGGATAAAAGTATAATTTGCAAAATGGGAAATTACTCAGCCTTGGAAAAAAATGAAATCATAAGATTGGCAGGTTCATGGACAGAACTAGGAAAAAAACATCCTGAGTGAGTAATCCAGTACCAGATAGATAAATATGGCACAAATTTGATTATATGTGGATATTAACTCTTGAGTTAATGATAACCAAACTACAACTGTAGAACTGTAGAGGTTGATTATAGAATAAGGGACTAAGGAAGGGACAGATAGATCTTCCCATGAAAGAGAAATGTATAGTTATGGATGGGGAGGGCACTGGAACTGGAAGATCAGGGAAAACTGAGAGGGATGTAGGCAGCAAACAAGGAAGTAAGATGAGCATTAGCTAGAACTAAGGGCCATTTGAGTGGTAGTATGGAAACCTATTATAAAAGAAGCTTCACAAATTACACATATATGAAAGCCACCTAAATGAAATCACCAAATAATGGGAGTGAATGAGCCCCAACTGCTCACCAAATGGGGTTTCTAGTACTAGGAGTAGATTACATATGAGTGAGTTGTTAGCCAATATTCAAACAACTTCAGCTGTTGCGAAGACTATAGGTTGTTCTACACAAACTAATAGCAAGGTCCCTTTGCTGAAGAAGACGCAGACACAATTCTCTCTTGAACATGGTCCAACTGGTGCCCTCACCCCACGTGCTAGTGTCTTGGTGACAGGAGGTACTCCACAAGCCAACAAAGGAGAAACATAAAGAAAACCCAGTGCCAAACCCATTGATCTACAATGGTGTCCTACCTTCTAGTTATGATAGTGCACTGTTGACACATAGTTTGATTTGATGGGGTAACTTGCGGGTGACCCTGCTCGGACACCCCTTGGGGCAGGGGGTGAGAAGACGCAGCACCAATGACTCAGGCACTGGGAGTCAGTGAGTAGCAGAGCAGGCTGCAGACTCGTTTATTCAGGAAGTTAGACCTGACTTTATACCCCCTCCCAAGGTCCCATTGGCCCAGGCACTGACTCTCCTGTGTGTTCTTTCCTCGTTGGTGTCTCTGGGTCAGGTGTCTCTGTGTCAGCATCTCTGGGTGTAGAGGCGGGCTCAGGCAGGAAGTGCCCACTGATCATTCCTAGGAGCATGAGGGTTGGCCTGGGCACCAGGGACAGGACGACTGTGACTTGGGTAGGCTGACCGAATTTTCTCCAACAAAGGCCCACTTCACACGATAAAATCCATACCGAGAACTTCTTGAGTGACCTACAACCGAAGACAAGGTAGCCCAAGAACCTAGGATAAATCCAAAACTTCTGATCTAAACAAATAAAAATTAGCAGTGGATTGATTTCTAATGATAATCTGCTGTGCTTAAAGATCAGTAAGAACCTTGTTCAACCACCATCAAATAAGCTTCCTCTTGCATCAGATGAGAAAAAAAAATCAAGATACCCACAGCCAAACATTATAAAGCAAGCAAGAGAAGCTGGAACACTAATCCCTAAAGAGGTTTTCTCCACCAAGTCCCTTCCCTGTGGCTTAGGGAAGCCAGAAGAAGTAGATGAAAGGAGTATAACAGCCTTTATATGGAGGACACAAACATCACAGTCACACAGACACACAGACACACACACACACGGACACACACACACACAGACATACGCACACACACAGACACACACAGACACATAGACACACACACACACACCACAAAATATAACATATGACACAAGAACCTCACAATTAACACGAGATACACATATGTGAACTCACAGAGACCTTGGTCAGCATGCCCTGGTCCTGAAAGAGTCTTCACATTTGGGATCCTAGATCTGAGGGGAGATATATGCCTGTTGTTTTTTAATTTTTCTCTCTTTACTCTTTTGATTCATTACTCTATTGGAACCCGTCACCCAGCTCCCAAATAGATACACACTCAGAGGCTTATTATTACTTATACATGCCTAGGCTTAACTTGGTTTGTTTCTTGCCAGCTTTTCTTAACTTAAATTATCCCACCTACTGGTTTTGCCTCTGTGATTTTTCCTTTTCCTTTTGTAAACCTTACTTTTGCTCTTACTCCATGTCTTGCTGAGTAGCTGACCCCATGTCCTCTTCTCCTTGTTCTCTTGATCTGCTCTGTCTTTTCTCCTTTCTCCTTTTATTTATACTGTCTGCCTTCCAGCCCCGCCTATCCTTGCTCCTGCATTACTATTGGCTGTTCAGCACTTTATTAGCTCATCAGGTGTTTTCAACTGGCAAAGAATCCCAGCTTTACAGAGTTAAACTAATGCAGCCTAAACAAAAGCAGCACATCTTGACATCATTAAAGCAAAACACACCTTAAAATAATATTCTACAAATTATGCCCCTATCCCTAACTTGTAAATGAAAATGTAGTTTTCTTGAAAGTTGTGTTATAGGGAAAACAAAGTATTCTTTCTTAAGGGTAGGTTGCAGGCCCAGCAGTGATAGCCAACACAATATGAACTTGGAGGAATCTTTGGATGTGTCTTGTCTCATAATGAGATGCCATATAAATATTTTCTCACTTGCTACCCAAATATCCTTATATATATTATGGTTTCCAGTTTAGTTAAGTGTTTTTGTGGAATTCTTGAAGGTTTGATGAGTAGGTTTGTGTTTCCTCTGCCTTCCCCTGGGCTCTTTTCATCCCATTCATTTGTTCTGTCGAATTCTGTGTTAGTTATTGTTTTATGTTATTACAGTGTATTCTATCTACCTATCTATCTACTATTAACCCAGAGAAGTCTGCTGTTTTCTAATGAGCAGAGGTGGATCCATATGTGGTTGAAGGTAGGAGCTGGGTGTCGTAGAAGGAGGGGAAGGAGCAATCATGATTTATTATATATATGAGAGAAAAAAACTAATTCAATAAAAGAAAGAGAAAATAATTAACCTGATAATCTAAAGAAGGCCCATACTAATTGTTTTAAACTTATAGAACATTTTATATTTGTCTCAGATGACTGGATTTATTACATTGAATTACTGTCTCTAAATTGTTACAGTTGTCTTCTAGGTTAATGGTAACAACTTCCTGGAGCATGGGCTGAGTCCAAATAGGATGTTTTCCTACATTCCATGTGTGTATAACCAAATTATAAAACATAATAACTTGTTGGAGTCCAAATCTAGAAGACACTCAATAAATGTCTCCTGTCTACGACATTCCTATACCTTAGAACTTACTTCTTCATCTGTTCGACTGACAGTAACTTTGTTATAGATGTTCAGTTGCATTGTAGTCTTTTGGGTGCCAAGAAATAAATCATTTGAAAACTGTTTGACAAATGTATTTATTTTCATCTGGGAAAAACAGAATGGTGTAGAAATGAAAAATCTATGTTAATATATTCAATGTGTGTCATCAAGAATTATGGTAAGATATTTTGTGTATGACAGGATTAAACTAGAAATTGTGTTTATACAACACACTGGGGACATGTCAGAATCTACTCAGGAGATTATAAATAGTTACACGCTAATCTGAAAGTTCTATGTGATCAATAGGAACAAAGAGTAGCAGTGATGTCCACATAGGGTCATATATTGAACTAAGGGATTTCTCCAACCCATTTCATATTTAAGATACTTAGACTGACAAAATGAGAACTATTGATTAGCTATATTTTTAGCAACAAAGATGAAGAGGGGGGACCATAATTCTGTAATATTTTTCGTTATCCTTTTTGTCATTTTCTCTTACTTTTAGGAAACATAAATGAATATAAAATTTGCTCCTTTCTGTTGATAAGTGTTTCTATTCTAATAAATGTGTGTCTGTGAAATGTCTGTAATAAACATAAAAATAATACAATAAGATGAAAGAGGTATAAATAAAATTTACCAGAAATAGCATGACGAAGTTGCTCATGATTGAATTCAATTGCACCAGAGAAACAATGATAAATCCTAAAATATCACAGAGGATGGTTTAGCATAGATTGTTTTATCAGAATCTTGTTTCTTTCCTGTGTGTTTCTTCCATCTAATCTATGATCATGTAAAATGTTCTATACAAACCAACTTATTTAAAAAGGCTGCCTACTTACGCTTGAGTGTACATCAGTTCAAACTGTTGAAATACATTTTATTATTAGAATCGTATTTGCTGGAATTTGTTATTGTTATTATTTATTCAAATAGGAAGCATTTCAACTTGTTCTGTACTCTTTTTGGTGAAAGCAGAAATTGTCTCCCACACCACTGAACAGTGGTGTCTTAAGTTTTCTATTGCTGTGTGAAACACTGGGACCCTAAGCAAGTTGGAGAGGAAAGAATTCCTTTTCCTTCCAGTTTCACACCACAGTCTGTCTTTGAGGCATTCTAGGGCAGAAACTGGAGCAGAGGCCCCTGGATTAATGGTCCTTACTAGTTTATCCCACATGGCTTGCTTAGCCTGCTTTCTTATAAAAGCCGAAACCAACACAGGGAAGACACTACAAACAATGGACTGGGCCTTCTCACACCAGTCATTAACTAAGAAAATACACTTAAAGGATTGAGTTGCATCTAATTGAGTTGTTGGTGTCCCGTGGAAATCCCTAAGCAAGCCAGGCTACGCCAAGACAATAGGTTACACAAACTGGCAGCAAGAACCCTTTGCTGATGATAATACCTAGGCAACATCTTGAACATGGAGAAATTGTCCTGATACTGGTACCTATAGCATCTTCACTCCTACGTGCTAGTGTCTTTGGTACTAGAAGGCACACTGCTTGCTATCAAAAGAGAAATATAAATACCAACCAAACCACAAACCCTTTTACCTACAATGTTGTCCTGTCTGAAAGATATATTAGGACAATGATGGCACACTTGTGGGAGCAACCAACCAATAAATGATCTGACTTAAGGCCCAAAGTAAGATACGAAATCTATACCTAACACTGCTTGCCTCACCAAAACCAGAGACAAAATAGCCTAGGGACCTAGAGTAAACTACTGCTCTAAAACAAAACAGAGGCAACAAAAAGTAGTGATAAAATGATTGCTAATGCCATTCTGCTATATTCATTGATCACTGATTTGATCAGCCGTCATCAGAAAACCCTTCACCTGCAGCGGAGGGGAACAAATACAGATTCCCAGGCAGACATTATGTAGAGAGTCAGAGATCTTGGGGCATCCATCCCTAATTGGGTTGTATCCATCAAATCCCTCCACTCAGAGTTCAGGAAACCCCATGAAAGAGGAGGTACAAAGAGTGCAAAATACAGGGGTCATAGAGGACATTATGAAAACAAAGCCCTATAAGTTAAGAAAATCAAGAAAAGATGGGACATGCAGCATATATCTAAACTCTCAAATACATCTCCAGTAACATATTTTTTTCCAACAAGGCCATACCTTCTAAATATTCCTAAGTAGTGTCATCAACTGTGAGCCAAGTATCCAAGCATTTGAGTCTTAGGAGCATTCTCATTCAATCCACTACATTGTCATTTAAAATTTTTTATTTATTTTTCCTTTTCTAATTTAAATTAGAAACAAACTTGTTTTACATGTTAATCCCAGTTCCCTCTCCCTCCCCTCCTCCACTGTCCCTCATGGGCCCCTATCCCATCCTCTTTGTGCTCCCCAGGGAGGGTGAGACCTTCCATGGGGGATCCTCAAAGACTGTCATAGAATTTGGAGCAGGGCCTAGACCCTCCCCTGTGTGTCTAGGCTGAGAGAGTATCCCTCTGTGTGGAGTGGGCTCCCAAAGTCCATTCATGTACTAGGGATAAATACTGATTCATTACCAGAAATCTCATAGATTAACCAGACCTCCAAACTGACATCCTCATTCAGGCGCTCTGGAACAGTCCTATGCTGGTTTCCCAGCATGGTTACATGACTAAACTTCTGTCTTGATCCTTTAGATAATTAACACTAACCTGTGAGATGAAACAAGCCATTTCCTTCTCAAGTTGCTTTTGGGAGTGTTGTTTATTATAACAACGGAAAAAAACTTAGGACAGAAAATTGTTTCAAGAGTAGGGCATTGCTGTGATAGATCTGACCATGTTCTGGATGTAGTTTTAACTTTGGGTTGGAAAACCTGTTGAGTGATTAGAGACTAATGGGCAGATCTATGGAAGTTTTAAAAATAAGATGCTTAGAAATGCCGATGTTGCAAGCCTGGCTTGTAAATTTCAGGGGAAGTTTGAGATTCTCTCAAACACTCTTATCTGAGCTATCTCTGGGCTATATTTGACTTAAAGATCTATTGAAGTGGAACCCATGATTCCTGAGAATCATTAAGACTCATTACTTAAGGCTGAAAAAAATCTGCTGAAATTAAAAACTGGTTAGCATCATTGTGGTGAAATCCTTTGGGAAGTAATGACTCAGTGGTTTCACACAGAAGCTGTGATCAAAAGTGAGTCAAAGCTACATTCAACTGGCAGCAGAATTTGGAAAATGGGTAAGTGCCCCCCTCCCATCCCTAAAACCAGACTCTGAAGTTTGTATTTACGAATATGAAAACTGAGTGATAGAAGTGTGCTTCAATTAAAAACATTACAGAACTTAATGAAGACAGAGTAAAAAATAAATTAATAAGTATTTAAACATAACAACAGAATAAAAATACTAAAAATAAGAAGGAATTAATTTTAATTACTAATTTGTTTTTAGTTTCATTTTTTTCTTTCAGAACTTTATACAAAGGGGCTGAAAATGAGTGGCCATGATTGTCGTATTAACTAAAACAACTATAAGTTCCTCAGGTTTCACACAAAACAGAAAAATTGAATACACAAAAATGTAATACATAAATGTCAATGTAAACTAGAAATTTGTGTACATAAAATAGTAAGAAGCTAAATATTTGAGGAGAAAAAATTCTACAAATAAGGAGAGGCAATTAAATAAAGAGAATATGCTGGAAATATTATTTAAATGAGTGAAAAGCAGGGAGACTAGGTTTTTATATATACATATACTCAAACACACACTTATACATACACAAACGCATGAACAGACACAAATACATATGACTTTGCCTTTCTATAAAAAACATTGAATGTGAAATCTGCTTCTACAGAATTCTAGGAATTTAACTGCAGGCTTACAGTAATTACAGAGCATTTAGTCATGAGAAATAGTTTAATCCTTATAAGAATAGATAAATTTAATCTTT